TCATACTCTGCTGTTTGATAAGTTTGGATAAATGTTTGTCTATCTTGTTGATTTTCTCAAAGAACCAACTCTTTGTTTTATTGATTCTTTGTATCGTTTCCCTAGTTTCTACTTTATTGACTTTAGCCCTCAATCTAATTATTTCCTGGCATCTGCTCCTCTGGGGTGAGTTTGCTTCCTTTTGTTCTAGAGCGTTTAGTTGTGCTTTTAATTCTCTAGTGTGACTGTTCTCAAGTTTCTCTACGGGGGGCAATTTGTGGTATGAACTTTTTTCTTAGCACTACTTTTAATGTGTCCCATAAATTTGAGTATATTGTGTTTTCACTCTCATTAAATTCTAGGAAGTCTTTAATTTATTTTTTTTATTTCTTCTTTGACCCAGGAGTGGTGCAATTGTGCATTTTTCAATTTCCATTAGTTTGCAGTTTTTCTGCGATTTGTGTTGTTGTTGAATTCTAACTTTAAAGCATAGTAGTCTAATAAGATATATGGAGTTATTCCAATTTTTTGTACCTGTTGAGGCTTGCTATATTCCCAAGAACGTGGTCAATTTTTGAGAAGGTTCCATATGGCACCGTGAAGAAGGTATATTCTTTTATGTTTGGATGGAATGTCCTATAGATGTCACTCAAACCCAATTTGGTCATAACTTCTATTAGTTCCTTTGTTTCTCTGTTAATTTTCTGTCTTGTAGTCCGGTCTAGTGGTGAGAGTGGGATGCTGCAGTCTCCCACTACAAGTGTGTGAGGTTATTTATGTGCTTTGAGTTTTATTAATGTTTCTTTTACAAATGTGGATGGCTTTGTATTTGGGACATAGATGTTCAGAATTGAGAGTTCATCTTGGTGGATTTGTCCAGTAATGAGTATGAAGTGACCTCCTTCATCTCTTTTGATTGACTTTATTTTAAAGTCTAATTTGTTAGATATTAGGATTGCTTGCTTGTTTCTTAGGTCCATTTGATTGGAAAATCTTTTCCCAACCCTTAACTCTGAAATAATGTCTGTCTTTGAAGCTTATGTGTTTGAAGCTTATGTAGCAGAAGGACAGATTCTGTCTTAAAATCCATTCTGTTAGCCTTTGTCTTTTTATGAGTGAGTTAAGATCATTAATTTTGAGGGAAATTAATGACCATTGATAGCTCATTCTTGTTTGCTTTAGCATGGTTGTTGTTGGTGGAATTGTATGTGGGTTTCTATCACTTTTCTTTTGCCTTTTGGTAAATTGGGATTATCTATTGCTTATGCTTTTCTGGCTGTAATTAACTTTCTTGGGTTGGAGTTTTCCTTCCAAAATTTTCTGTAGGGCTGGGTTAATGGATATGTATTGTTTAAATATGGTTTTGTCATGAAATATCTTGTTTTCTCCATCTATATTGAATGAAAGCTTTGCTGGGTATAGAAGTCTTGGCTGACATCCATGTTCTCTTAATATTGGTCGAATATCTATCAAGGACCTTCTGGCTTTCATAGTTTCCATGGAGAAGTCAGGTGTAATTCTGATAGGTTTGTCTTTATATGTTACTTGGCCTTTCCCCCTAGCTGCTCTGAATATTCTTTCTTTATTCTGTTTGGGTCTTGATTATTATGTGTCGAGGGGATTAGGCAAGTTTTAAACAGAATTGTTTTCAGTAGGCAGACAAAATGAAAAACTGGAGCTGTGAAATATGCTGTGATGAACAGACAGCTAGTATGAATACTTTCCAATATCATTTAATTAATTCCTGTTCTTTTCCAGGATACATAGCTTCAGTCAGTCTTCATTTGTGTACCTTCAAAACATTCCAATTACATCATCCTAATCTGAGATACATTTAAAAATTTAAGTTCTGTTATTGACTGTCACTAGTAAATAGTATAATAAAAAGCTCCATGAAATCGTTACTTTTCTGCAATCATTGTTGATATACATTTTAAAAATCTCTCTTTAGGATGATTATCAGTCTATTTCTCTATGAAGTCTTTAGCTATCATCTATCTACCTACCTATCAATCATCTGTCTCCCTACATACTTAGATAAATCTTGTCCCAATTTTTCAGTTTTCTATAAAATGAATGTCTTACTTAGAGTTACTATTGCTGCAATGAAAAACCATGGCCAAAAGCAACTTGGGAAGGAAAGATTTATTTCACTCATGGTTCCATATAACAAAGCACTGAGAGCAGGAACTCAAGCAGGATAGGACCCTGGACATGGGAGCAAATGAAGAGTCCATGGAGGAGTGCTGCTTACTGGATTGCTCCCTCTGGCTTGCTCAACCTGCCCTCTTATAGATAGAACTCAGAATGACCAGCTCAGGGATGGCACTGTCTAAGATAGACTCACCTCTACCCTATTAATCAGTAAGGAAATGCCTACAAGCTTACCTGCCAGGTGACCTTATAAAGGTCATTATTTTTTAAATTGGAGTTTCATCCTCTCAGATGATATTAGCTTGTATCAAGTTGACATAAAACTATATAGCACAATTCATCTTTTGTCACCTTGACACATAAACACATCACTATTAAACCTCACCTTTCCTTTCTAATTCATCCTTAAGATTTCATGCAGAGGATGCAAATTTTTGTGAGTTCCAGGCCACTCTGGTACACAGAGCATGTTTCAGGACATCCAGGGCTACACAAAAAGACCCTGTATCAAACTACCAAAAGAAAAAAAAACAAACAAACAAATAAACAAGCAACTCCCCAAAAAAACAAACCCAAACTCACATTAAAAACATAAATAAAAATAAACAGTCTGACAGTCTACTAATTTAAACACATTAGAAGTTCAACCTCTTTAAAATATCCAATCCCTTTAAAAATACAAATTATCCTTTAAAAGTTCCAAATCTCTCAAATGTGTGCTCTTATAAAAATCAAAATTAGGTTAAATACTTACTTATTTCAAGAGGGAAGAATAAGGACACTGTCATAATCAAATGAAGGTAAAACCGGGTATAAATAAGGCAATGTTCAATTTCTGGGATCAACTCACAACTATGTATGCTCCTTCAAAGAGTTTTCGTCACTTCTTCAGCTCTGTCCCCTGTAGCACACCTAGTTTGTCCTCTAAGTTCAGGCAGGCACCACTCCATTGCTACTGCTGTCCTTGGAGGCTATCCCATGGTAGTGGCATTGGTAAAACGCTGGGATCTTCTGCTGCCACTGTCCAGCACTATCACCAAGAGCCTCTCTGTGATTCTCTCCATGGTGCCAAGTCTCAACTTCCCTTCATGACCCCTTCAGTCCTGGATCTTCAACTGTTCCTGAGGCTGAACCTTAACATCTTCTGGCCTCTCACAGTGTCAAGCCTGATCTGCTTCCTTCATGCCTCCAAAACTAGTATCACCTGGGTGACTCTTCTACTACCACATTCAGTTGCCAGTGTAAAGTACAACCATGGCTGCCTCTGAAACACAGCTTCTGTTTTCACCTCAGTGATGCTGCTCTCTTCCTAATCACACCTGATTTCTTAGCTTCAGTCGACCAGCATCAAGTAGTCCAGCAAAGCAGAGGTTTCACTTTACTATTTTTGGTATCTTGTTAATCACAGCTTATTCTTCAGTCTTAGCTAACCAAAATCACAAAATCTTAGTTGAAAATAAAATGGCCCTGATGGTCTTTATACTTCTCTCTGAAACTGCACACACCAGGGTTCTATCTTCTGTATCTCCCTCCACATTCTTATATTCCTAGCTCCCACAGAAGAGCTCACTGTGTTCTAAAAACTCTATTCCTTTTCTAGCCCAAATTTCTAAATTTCTTCCGTAATGCCCCCCCCCAAACAACATGATTGGATCTGTCACAACAATATACCACTACCTAGTACCAACTTGTCTTAGTTAGGGTTTTTACTGTTACCGTGAAACACCATGACCAAAAGCAACTTAGGGAGGAAAGCAATTCTTTTGCTCACAGTTCCATATAACCAAGCAGTGAGGGCAGGGTCCTGGAAGCAGGAGCTGATGCAGAGGCCAAGGAGGGATGTTGTTTACTGGACTGATCTTCATGGCTTGCTCAGTCTGCTTTCCTATAGTATGCAGTACCAAACGCTTGGGGATAGCACCACCCACAATAGACTGGGCCATGCCTCATCAATCATTAACTAAGAAAATGACCTACAGGCTTGCCTGTGGCCTGATTTTGTGGAAGCATTTTCTTATTTGCAGTTTCCTCCTCTCAGATGACTTTAGCTTATGCCAAGTTCACATGAAGGTTTCCAGCTTGATTAACCTTCAGCTTTCTAAATCAGGATTTTATTTACACTGTAAGGAAAAACACTTAAAGAATATTAGTAATATATTGATTACCCCAACAACACTAATGTAGATAAAAATGATATCAGTATTCTACATCTTCCTGAATCCTAATCCTTGGTTACATGAGAAATAAAAAATAAAGTAGTCAAAATAGTTTTAATTCATTTCATTCAATTAAACAGTGATATTTTGATGGTAGGTTTAATTACCTTTTAGGCAATCCCAAAAGCCATGTGATTTCTACCTGTATCTTATGTTTTTGATGATGCCATTACTTTATCTAAAATACCATAACTTGTCCACTTTTCTAGGTTTTTATAAGTAGTCATGTTTATCAAGAACATTGTAGTCTCCCAGCCATAAACACAAAACATGTAAAAATAGAAGAGAATATCAATAGTGATTATGTAGTCTAAACATCTCCCTTATATTTGTAAACATAAACTATAGATAGTGTAAATATTTGAGGACTATAAAAAGTTGTCTTTTGGTGAGAAAACAATATTTGTGAGTATATAAAGTGTTAAAAGTAATAGAAGTCTTAATTACAGTCTCTTCTTAATTACTCATCTTCATACAATTACTCATCTTAATTTACAAATATTATGGGATGGATAATTAGATCAGTCAGATGAAGCTCAGAATCAACAGAAACCTTAAAGCATTCTTGAGCTTTGTGCATCTTTAAAGAAAATCCAATAAAAGTACTCAGAAACCAAAATCAATGAAGACTTTCTCTTGTATTTGTCACAGGGTCCAAGTTTTCTCTCTGAAGCCATTTTCCCTAAACATGCAACAAAAATTGAAGAAGTGGATCCATCTTTCAACCTCCATGAAGCCGTTACTAAGGTGAGAATGAAGTGTGAACTTAAAAGTGGAATGAGAAAATGTTCTTTTATGTTGTTGTTTGTGTGTTTTTGAATGCTTTTCTAAGTTGTAAGGATGGCAGAAGAGAGGAAAGCATTTGAAATGCAGCTTGTGACTCAGGATTTATGAGAAAAAGCTATCCTCAAGAAAACAATTAGTTTTGACCTTAATCTGAAATTAAGTTTGTCTTTTACTTTAATACATGGCTACTTTACATGACTATAAAACAAAATAAGTTGTCTGACTTTTGTGTCCAAAATTTTGTTTCAATATATTTATCTATTGAACTTGTAATTATTTCATTTGAGTGCATATTTGTATGTGACATGAGAATGAACAGGTGCCGTTGTGTACTTGTGGAGGGTAGATGGTAACTTAGTTGTTTCTTGCCTTCTGCCTCTTCACCCTGGTTATGAAACTCACCTTGTAAGGCTTGGCAGTAGATGACTTTGCTCCCTTAGTCGCCTTACTGTCCTGTTTATTGCACATTGTAGTTTCAGTAAAAGAAGGGATTGCTATATTCGGTAAAGGATCTTATTTATAATACTGCATATTTTCAGTCATAATATTATTGTTTGAAGAAAACTAAGTTTTCAAGTGTGGAGAAAATAAATTTATTGTTCCTGATATCAAATGGCATCCTATGAATTTTTACATTCACAAATTATTTATCTAACCTGTCACAGCTTGCCTCTTCAGGATAGACTTTTCATTATATATTGATATTTCAATGCCATTAAAATAATCCATATTTATGTATGCTTACTAGAATAATTTAGTCATCCTTAAATCTTAACAAAAAGTGACAGACTGCTTACCTCTTTGAAAAAAGGAAGTATGTTAAAATGAGCTAACCTCCTCATTTGGCCATAGAATAAAGTTAGAATTGAGACCCTGGGGTCTGTATCTAACTCTGATACGAACTACATAAATTCATTTTTGAACCTTTAAAACTTAGTTAAGTTGGAATTACAATCAACATAAAAATTCTTCTAAGCTCTAAGTATTTGTCATGGTTTCCTAAGCAATCAACTCCAGTTACCTGAATTCAGTTTTGCTAATTTCATTTTCTTACTGTATATTATTATTTATATATTAGTAGAGAAAAGTTGACATCAAGTGCTTCCTCAGCATTTAAAATATTTAAAATATTAATTGAATTTATAACACTTAGATATTATATATACCTTACACAAAACATGTATATGCATATACAGATGAAGATAGAGGAATCTTCATGGATACTTAGATACATCTTCATCTGTATATATAAGTGTATGCATGATATTCATAGCAACTACAATTTCTAAGAGCATTTTAGGAAGAGATGAGTATAAACAGAGGTTTCTCTGTCCCAAGCTATCCCATAATCTCTTCCAAATAATCATTCAGAGGCATATATTAATTACTAAGTCTCAAACAATAGCTCAGGCTTATTACTAGCCAACTCTTACATTTAAATTAATCCATACTTCTATCTATGTTTTGCCAAATGGTTAAAACCTTGCTACCTCATTTTCTATATGTCCTGACTGTTAGGCTGGCACCTCCATTGACTCCATCCTTCTTTACCCCATAATTCTCAATTTGACTTTTCTGCCTAACCTTATCCTGCCTGGCTATTTGTCAGTCAACTTCTTTATTAAACCAATCAGAGCATAATTTAAAGAGTATACAGGAATACTCCCCAGCAGATGGGTGAGTAAATAAGGAGTCATAAACACAATATTAATCCTTACATATGTTCAGTAGTCCATTAGATACTGAGGTAAGAGACCATTAGAAAATGACATACATTTCTTCCATTGTGTCCTACATGTGTTTTCAAATATGTTTGATACCAAGAGTGCATGTCATGAGATCCTTAAAGGAATATTGGGAGGAATTCCTTACCTGAAAATAATCCTAATCAAAAGAAATGCAGAATATCGAGTTCTATGAAAGCTTTCACAACTTTATATCCTTACCCAATGTAGATTATCTGCAGAGTTCCTGCAAACATATACCAGAGGAAGGAAGTATACTGCTGGAGTTTAGTCTTAACTAAATAATGGCAGTAATAGGGAGCTGTACAAGGAAACATTTAATATTATGTGACTTGGTTAACATCCAGTCAAACATCCAGTTTTTTTGATAATCATCATCAACAACAAAAACACTTAGTAAATGTAGTTTCGTTAACTATAATACATAGCTTGGAAATCCAGAGTAAAATTTTTGTTCTATTATTCCTAAGAAATCTTAATATTTTACAATTGAGTTTAGTTTTATTATTAACACAAAAAGTAATATATCCATTTTATTTATTCTCACTAGGAATTTGAGATAAAAATGATGTTAGCATTTTCTTAGCAAATTTAATATGTACATGATCAAGCATATCTTAACATAAAAACTTGAAGAACTAACTTCTTTAAAGAAGACTGTTTATCTGTGTTCTCTCAATTGTAATTGTATGCAAGGGCCAAAAGAATAGCATCTCGCTATTGTCTTTCTGCTTTTAACCAGCATTTTGAAATAAACAGGTTATCTTTATATATGTCATGTGAATTTAGTATTTGAAATCAGGTTTTCATCTAAGGCTTTTTTTCTCTCTTTTTGAACCTTTCTTAGCATTTTTCTTCTTGATATAAAGCACAGGACCTAAGAAAGTAATGAATGAGACTTAGTATCGATGTCAAAATGAGTAATCCATCATGGCTTCAGCTGTCAGTTATCTGAAGTTGCTGAAGGGCAACACATGCTGCAATCGCTGGTGAAGAGACTTTTCCTACTCTCTCTACTACATTATGCTACAAATTGCATTTTAGAGTTTTAGTTATTATGAAAGCCAAATTAAGTCTGTTAAAGACTAAAACGTGTAGAAATACTAGTATAAATCCCTAGCTGCTACACCCTTTAGTAAGCATATAGAAATCATCACGTGTTTATATTTTAAATAAGCTTTTTTCTCCTTGTACACTTAGCAATTTTCTTGTTCTGTCTCTAAAGCTTCAACGATTTTCTCACAAGTTGTTATTAACTACGTCAGCATTCCTGTTAGTTGACAATGGTTTGTCAAAGTGGCTAGATAGATCTTTAAATCATTTTAAAGTCATGTGCCAAAGAAAAGAGATAATGATACAGGTAAGGTGTGGTAAAACAGAAGCACTGGAGGAAGGAAAGACCCAGCTTGGTTTATGAACTGTGCATTCACAGCATGAGGGACAAGAACAGACCACATCATTCACCAGCAAAAGGGCATTCAAAGAATTAAGGAATTCACCTCCGTATCCTGAGATTCCTTGAAGGTGATTTTAATTAGATGCTGGTGACAGTGTGTGAAAAGCAATGATACATATTTACGTATTTGTAAAAGAACAATAATAATGCCAAATTTGAGAAACTTCCTTAAAAATGACCATCAATAAGGGCAGCCTATTCTACAAATTGAGTTCCAGAATAACCAGGACTGTTACACAACTCTGAAAAAAAAAAGATAATCAGGTTGTAGATATGAGACATAAACAGAGTCAAAATAGTCAGTGAGTATTCTACTAGTTCTGCCTCAGCAAAGTGATACTAGTGACTATTAAGTAGTAAAATTCCTTTATATGTTAACACAAATGGCTAGTAGAACAAATTCAGCTTGTGAGTTTACCCAGGAATATCAAATAATTTGTTTTTCACTTAAGAAAACTGTCTTTAAAACAGGAGGGCCTCACCCTCCCTGGGTGGAGGGACAAGGGAGGAGCGATGGGAGAGGGAGCTGGGATTGACATGTGAAGCATTCATGTTTCTAATTTAAATAAAAACATATATCGAGGGGAAAAAAGGAAAAAAGCAAAAAAAAAAGATAGGTTTTTAATTGAAGTAGAGCTGTGTATACTTTTGCCCTTTTTTTCCTTCCCTCCAACTCTTCCCATTTCCCCACTATGTTGATTTTAATTCTTGACTTCTTTTTCTTTGATTACTATTGTTAACTCTCTCTTTTTTCTCTCTTTCTCTGTCTCTGTCTCTGTCTCTGTCTCTATCTCTCTCTCTGTGGGTGGTATGTATACAAATATAAAAATACAACTCCCGGGGTACGTTTTGTTGTTTGTGTATATGTTTTCAGTGATGACCACTCTATGTAGTATACCAGTAAAGGGGCAATCCTGCAAGAGGTGAATTTTGCTTCTCCTAATAGTTATTAGACACCTATGTTGAAAATCATTTGATCAACATTGATTTTTAACCATTTCACGTCAATGTTAATTCCATATGGCTATCAGTTATGTTTGTGAATAAAATAATTACCATAACAATGACGAATATCTTAAGACACTATACTAAATATGTGATACTGAAATGTAAATGTATTTTAAGAGATCAAATAATAATTTTCCTCTTCTTTTGGAAGTGGTCTAGGTATATAGACCAGACTGGCCTATAATTAGCGATTGTTTTTTCTCAGCCTCTGAGTTCTGGTATTACACTCTTGTGATATTATGGGTGACTTAATTATTTGTTTAATTTTTTGTTTGTTATTTTAGGTTTCAAAAGCATGTTTATCTCTAGAAGCTAATAAAGTTTTTGTGAATGTCTTAAAACAACACAAAACCTGACTCTCATTTCTAACCTGGAAGAGCAAACAGCAGCATTTTCACAAAGTGTTCTGATGTTGGTGTTGAATTATTTGACCAAATATAAATATTCATGTTAGAAAATCAAGTGTAATGATATTTATACTCCCACTTATATTTTCACCCCCATTTATATTTTCATATATAAATTTGAAGTCATTTTTATCTATGGAATAAAAGGTTTTATATAAAACTAATTTTTCCATGCTGTATGCACTTAGTGATACTAGATGCAAGAATGTCTCTGTGGAGATCTGCACTCCATGTCTTCATGACATGCACTAAAATAGATAGTATCACAGGGAAGTATTTCCAATGCAGAAATCACACATTGTAAAGAAAAGTGGGTTTCGAGGTACTCAAGGGAGATAGTAGTAT